ACACAGCATATCCACAACATGGCGGCGACGGCAACAATACTACAGCGAGAATAAAAGTTACGCCTTCTTTCTTTGCGTGAACATTTGGGCGGTGTTATGCAAATCTTCCCACACAGTGACGTAGACATGTGGGGGCGTGTTTAAACGAGGCGTTTTCTTTTATAAAGAATATCTCTTTGGGTTTGAGACTTTAGTCTTTGCAACTTTAGGGATCTTATCTATGCACGAACAGCTTGTAACACTCCAAAGAGAAAGGAAAACTTGAAATCGCATCATATGACCCCTTTAATGCGTTAAAGCTGTATACATTTTTATCAGTTCATACATTCTCTGGTTATCAAACTCATAAGTCTGTCATTGTAAAGTGGTACCGACTTGTTTTTGGAGAATATGCAGGGACCTTAAAGGAATAGTTCACACAAAAATGAAAATTTGCTAAAAATGTCCTCACCTGCAGGCCATCCAAGATGTAGATGAGTTTGTTTCTTTCTTAGATTTGGAGAAATGTAGCATTGCATCACTTGCTCACAAATGGATCCTCTGCAGTGAATGGGTGCCGTCAGAATGAGAGTCCAAACAGCTGATAAACACATCACAATAATCCACACCACCCCAGTCCAGCAGTTAATGTCTTATAAAATTTAAAGCTGAGTGTTTCGAAGAAAGCATTAAGATGTTTTTAACTTCAAACTGTTGCTTCTGGCCAAAATATGAGTCCTTAATCCATAATAATGCTTCATCCAGTGTAAAAGTCATCTGATCAAAACAGTCCTAAAGAGCTCTAAACAAATATGTGGGTGGGTTTTGATGTGAGAGGACAACAGTTTGAAGTTAAGCAACTGTTTGAAGTTAAATCTTAATGATGGATTTGTTTCTTCCAAACACATAGCTTTTCATTTCACAAGACGTTAATTAATGGACTGGAGTGGTATGGATTACTTGTGGATTATTGTGATGTTTTTATCAGCTGTTTGGACTCTCATTCTGATGGCACCCATTCACTGCAGAGCATCCATTGCTGAGCAAGTGATGCAATGCTACATTTCTCCAAATCTGATGAAGAAACAAACTCATCTACATCTTGGATGGCCTAAGGGTGAGTACATTTTCAGCAAATGTTTATTTTTTGCTGAACTATTTACTAATGAACTAAATCACAACACAAACACAAAATGTTTTCAAAACATTTCATAATAAATTTTTATTTTTGTGTGTGTGTGTGTGTCTGCAGTGGTTTATGTACCTATGACTGACATAACCAGAGGTTTCAGGATAGTGTGCATTGTAGTTCATTAAAGTATGTTTAAATACTGGAGCATCTTGTGACATGTTGTTTAGCACTAGGAGGTCTGAGTGAGCATTTCACAGATTATTCCCATAGAGCTTCACAGGCGTCTGCTAATAAGAGCCCTGCTGATAGAGTCCACAGTATGAGTACAAATGATCTCTGTCCATCTCAGCTTCTGAAACACTATCTGAAATAGCGATGGCCACTTAAAGCCACGAGTAAAGTGATGGAGAATGCAAGACTGAAGAATGAGATGTGAAGGTAAGAACATAATGGAAAAACAGCCTGCTTTCTGCCGCTTCTTGCACGTCACCCCCGGAGCCAGGCTCCATCGCACTGCGGTTGCCATGGAGACAAAAATGGTACCTCGCAGTGAAGGATGTTGCACATGCAGTGGAAATGTTGTCGTGACAAACCGGCAAAGGTCTCAAATTAGCAGCAATCAGACTTTAAATGAAGTGTTCACTTTTCATTTATCCTACAGATTTGATCAAACTGTTTGGTTTGATAAAATTTCAGTTTCGTTTCACAGAACTTTGCTGCTAGTTGATGCTTTCAAACTCTGCTGCATAGACAATTTGTCTTTGTGCATGTGTTTTGTTATATTTATGAATATTTATGAACTAAACAAGGAATAGCGATAAGCTATATAATTATTTTTTATAATTAATATAAGACTCAACTACAGGTGCATCTCAGTAAATTAGAATGTCGTGGAAAAGTTCATTTCAGTAATTCAACTCAAATTGTGAAACTCGTGTATTAA